ACCCTATCAGTACGCCACTGAATATACGGACATTCAAAAAAATATATATAAATAATATCAATCATACAACTATACAAAATATTTCGTGTCTATAACTGCGACAAATGGTCAGAGACTGTATATATAACTGAAGGGATGAGAGGGATTGCTGAAAAATATGTAAGAGCCAGAAAAAACAGGTTATCGACTATCGTAAATAAGATAAAATATCAAATATAATGAAATGTTTAAAACGCGAAACAAAAAGAATATCGTAAAATAAATGTCATATTGTAGTATCGTGTACCATGAGCTATGGGATAATTCTGTCATTGTACCATATAATATCTGCCGATTGAGTTTTGGCTATTATTTTGAAAGTGAAAAGGCGCGATCCAAGGTTAGGCCACCTAAGAGTATGATATTAGAAGGTAGGTGGGTATTGCCAGTATTGTTAATACTATCCGGTATAATCGGATATAACGTCAAAAAATTATTTTTTTTTTCAAACTAAGAAATTCTGACAGTCCGAGGTGCGCTATCCCATCGGTTTTGGTTAGAAAACTTGCAGCCCCTGCCACACATAATTTAAAACTTAATTTGCTCCCACCACTATAGCTCACAAGGCTTATAATTTGACAATTTGTCATCACATTATAATACTATATCCGTTACCGATTATAACTTACTATAGAATATTAATAATATTGTAAAAATATTAAGTTTCGAAATAGTCTAATTGACCGGATAAATACTATGAAAGCCGAAAAGCGAATACTCAGACTCCACTACATATTATAGTTAGTTGAYCTATTACTTACAAATATAAATAAATAAGATATACAAATTTAACAWACCATCTACTAAAGTAGRAAACAAAACTTAACTCGCGATGGGCCAGAGAACGTGCCCCAAATGTTGATAAAGTCAAATTTGATTATATTACACACGTCTCTTCGGTAGAGTAGTTTACAACGTACTACACACACGTCGTATGCGTATTAAATACAATAATGGACAGGCGTGGTATGACACGAGAATTCCTTGCCTGAATTGAGAAACAATCAGTCCGTGAAATTTAAGTTTCTATTTCTAAAATTTTGAGTCCATTTAAAAATATTAAGATAAAAATTAATTCATAAACCAAAAACATATATACTAAATAAATGCTAATAGCAAATGTGTAATATGGATAATAAAGAATACATTAAATACATTTATACTATTTGTATAACCAAGTTTTTTTCAATAAACGAGTATTTTAGGTACTCACAAAATTTGTATGTTAAAAAGAAGTTAAAATTGTATGTAAATGTTGTGTAAATTAACATGAAAGTTTTTTCCCTGGAAACAGATAAAAATACTTKAAAGTAAATTAAGTTTAACCTGGAATTATTGGACAAAAATATTCAGTTATTGTTATTTGAGTAACTTACCTGATTTTCCTAAGTTTAAACAATGATTCATTTTTTATTTTTAATAAACTCAATGTATTCTATTGGTAAATAAAAAAAATGTGCAGAGGACTAGAGGTAGGTAGGTCTCAACACTATAACTGAGAATTAAAATATTTCCCAACTCCTAAAATATTCTCAAATATTCAAAAAAACTTTTTCCTATAAACATTAAACATAACCATATTATTTACTCCTTAATAACTGCATAATATGCTCTGTTATAATATTCAATACCTGTAAAACTGGACCCTAGATAATCATAAGATAATTATTTAAAATCATCCAAAACATGATACCAGAAATGAACATTTTAGTTTGTTTACATTAAGCCCCACATTTAATATACCTACTGACTGCATACTTTGTGAGTGCCTAATGATTATTTGAATTGCTACAGCCTGTAAATTGATTWATCATTTTATTTTTGCTTATAGTCCGATTACCCCAACTTATAATACTGTATAAGAGTAGAGTAAAATAAATGACTATTTGTATATAAGGTTATTATAATTGTTTAATTTAAACAACGCAAGTGGTATTTTAATTTGTTGCATTATTCAACCTCTTCTCGACGGGGAAATTGGCAAACAAACCTTCAACCAAATATGTTGAAGTAGGTATCAATAGGTACAAAGGTCTAAAAAGGATTAAAAATACACAGTATTATATCTTCACTTTGCTATAAACGATTTATTTTAATTTACTTATTAGATAACTATAAATATAGTAAGTATAAACTATAAATATAATTGCAACTTAACAAACTTAATAACTACTGAACAATCTTAAAAACTAATTAACTCATCACTAACATAATTATTATATTTACATTAGGATACAAAAAATGAATACCAGTAATTCAGAGATCACTAATTGTCCACAAAAAATACCGCTTTAATAATATCTCCTCTTCCTCTTTTGCCTTTAATAATTATAAATTATTTTTAACAAAGTTTCACTTGGCAGTAACAAGAACCTCATAGGTACACAATTAAAACTACTGTTTTTCATCTAATATGTTAAAACAAAATAACTTTCAGTCGTTTGTGTTGCATTTCATCRTTGTCTTCTTAGAATATATACAATAAGTATTATTGTATTTACAGAAGTACTAAATATTAATAAACTATAAAATTAAAGTAACGTACAGCATTAAGATTTTATTTAGTAATCCATGTTAAAATTTGTTATTGATTAATATTTGAGAAATGAAATCCAATTAATTTMGAAAAAAAATGTTAACCTTGAAGAAAATACTTTTAAGAAAAAAAAAAAAAATGTTATTAATAAGTAATTTTCACATTTGATGATTCAGACTGATTTACATTTGATTTATACACTGCATCGATAAGGGTAGATTGAAGAACTGAATAATGAAAAGACTTGTGCAATAGTACAAAGTAATTAGTAACTCTATAATAGAAATATTTTGTAATTATACATCCAAAACACATTTTTGTAACATATAATAGAAATCATATTTATATTAAACTGTATTACATTTTTGAGAAGTGTCAAAAGTTATCATTGCAAGTCTTAAAAATTTCAAAATCAAATTTTAATTTCAAATAGATTCATCAAGACAATAAAATACTGAATAATTTAAGATTATATTGTACAAAAAAAATAATAAAAAATACATTGAGTAAGTATTTCACAATTGATAAAATTCAACACCAACAAAATAAAAATCACTCATATAGAGTTACTATTACCAAGTATTTTTTAATGCTTTTCATGTTTACAGTAACTGATGACACAACACACGTTTGATGTTCCGAATCATATTTAGTATTTAAGCTGTCCTTTAAGTGTTTGTAAATAATGAATATATTAATATTGTATAGACTACATATTATTATACATCAAWTTAAWTTTTTTCAACTGWGTTATTTTACATTTAAGAATATCAATGTATTATGACGTGTCCATATTGAATTTATTGTTATTTATCTATAACATTTGGCATTAATAGTATATGTTAACAATGATAAAATATATAAAATACATATAATATATATAAATATATTTATATATACATATGATATATAAGACCTAAATTTCTTTCTAGCACTATTGAGCAAAAATCATTAAGACTTTTRAATTAAGTACTTAAAGTGCCTTAACAATGAATATTTATTTTTTTAAATATTTTTTTATCACAGTAAAACAGCCTTTTTTTGTCATAAAGGGTCGCCACAATTTGCATATCTACCTAGTATTAAGTGTTTATGAATTATCAATAAATAACAATTTTGAACACAGAGGGCGAAATATTTTGCAAGTATAAATATAAATATATTTTTTATCGACCAAGATCGTTACTATTTTTTAGAGTTTGAGGAAGAAGAATTAAGTTAAATAATATTATAAAAATCAAAAATATTAGGAGCTGGCCAGTCTTGTTGGAGCTATTTAACTTTGATCATGATAAAAAGCGGCAATTCTTTATTTTTATTTTTAAATGGCCATTGACCTCATGTCCGAACACATGCCTTCTACCTGAGGGGGGCCCATATCAACACTGGTGATCTGCTCTGTACGACTATCTTCACTACTTGAAACTTCAGGAGTATCACTTTGGTCAGAGGTATAACGATTGATTTTGTTCCCCTTGTAAGACTAAAATAAAATAAATGAAATTAATTAAAAATTAATTAACCAATAAATCAATGTAATGTTCACTCTTACACTATAGTTTTTTTTGTTGCTTTGATAGTTGTTGCCACCATATCTGGCTCCTCTGTTGTTGAACATCTGATGGCCATTAGAAGGGCGTAYATTTCCCTGATTGTGATAAGGATAATTTGGATTTAACATCACCTGAGGAACAGCAGGATAGTGCATTTTAGGAAATCGGTGACGGAAATTTGAATTAGGAACAAAAAATGGGGTAGTAAAAGATGAATTAACCATAGGACTAGTAGCATTAGTATGCCTGGGATGAGATATAGTAGTTGGCCCAGTTTTATAAAAGGTGCGAGCCTCCAGATACTTTTTGGGTCCATTTTTCATGTAGTCATTGTTATTCTTAATAGATAAATTATTGTTGTTGCCCTGATATTGATGAGCGTCACTACGTTGCTTAGCACAGTCCTTTTGTTCTGGACGTATATTTATGGAAGGTGGAGGGTGTCTGATATTATACTGAATTTGGGTCATTAGTAATTGATTGGGTGATTGATCAGATTTTTCAGGATCCGATGTAGATGATGTGGTGGGCTTAGAAACGATTGGTTGAGAAACTGTTTGTGGTGGAGGCTCTGCTAAACTCATGACCGGAGTTAGGCATAACTGTTGAGTTTCAGGTGTATATGTCTGAGGTTTTTCCTCATCATTTCTAACTACGGACATCAGTGATACAAACTGATTTGTGGTAATTACTTGCGCTTGTCCTACCTAAAGCCAGAAATGCAAGATTTCAACATAATGCACACTTTAAAAAGGGCTGAGCGAGAAAATAAAAATCTCATTGAATTTAACTTTACTCCAAAACATAAAACATAGTAAAATGTAATAATTAATTTTGCTAACACATTTTTCCATGTAAACAGTATTTCTGTTAAAAACAATTTGAGTCATTATTAATTTTAAATAAGAATATTTTTCTGTATTCAAATTAAATATTAATTAAATGTATTATAAGATAATTGTTAGAAAAGTAAGGGATAACCTGTTCTTAATTATATTTTATTAATTTAAAAACAAAATAGCTATATCTAATTTAAAATTTTGATTCAAGGTTTGAGAATTTGTAATATAAAGTGTGTAAGCAAATAAAGAGCTTTAACCTTATCTATTAAAGTAATAGACGGAGCAAGTATGCCCAGCAGCACAGTTGAGTGGTTTGGTGACAGCAAACTGCRTTCCAGTGATGGAATCACAAGTAGCATAAATAATTTTTCTCACACATTATTTTATTCTATTTAATTGTTGTACAACACTTTACCCTTAGTCTTCATTATAATTAATGCTGGTTATTTAATACTAACTCATAAGTAATTTAGAAATATTAATGAATCATAATCATAGTATGAATATAAAGTACAATAGGATAGTAATGATAATTACTAATTTACACTGTCAACTACATTCAAATATTTGGTCAATGCACATGCATAGAAGTGTATAAAAAACGATCTGCGAGTTTCACCCCAGAAACCACTGCCATACTCCTATCTACTATTAGTTTGAGATCCAAGTTTTAAACTTATGTTCTTCATAACATATTGTATGTTTTAAGTATGTTTTCATTAATCTCAGCCAAATTCGAATATACTCGAGAAACTATTTTGATTTTAATTAATAATAAAGTGAATTTAATTATTTTATAACTAAACTTTGCTCAAGAAAATAAAATTTATTTTATAAATCAAAATATATTGCCTATTAACTCGCTCAGCGCCAATGTAAAATTATTAGTATTAAATTGTTTAGTTACCGAAGCATCTGATGAAGGCGGCCTAGGATTTGTGCACTGTTCAGTAAATACTGGTTGATGCACAAGCTGAATATTTTCCATGAGTGGATCATAATATGGATAACCACCATCAGAAGATGCGACCATATAAGGCATATATGGTGACATGATCGGCATTGGATAGGCCATATCAGGAGTAGGCATCATACTAGACATTTGAGTCCCTGGATAATAAGGTGTATCACAAGGCATTGAAAAAAGAACCTTTGATCCTTGAGTACTGTTACAAACCTAAAATGATAATAGTTAAATTATACTGTTTGACAAAAAAAAAGTATGAAGAGTGATTTTTTYCAATTATTTTAGTTTTTTACTAGGTAGATACATCAATTTTTGTTAGTTGAAACATTTTTTTAAAAATATTTTGAAGTTAATACTCTAGTAATTTTGCAAAAAATAAAATTAAAATAATTGCCATTTATTTTAGCAATGATATTCAAGTTTTTTCTAATGACAATCCATATTTTTAATTCAGTTTTCTGAAAACATAATATTTTTTAAATTTTCCATGTATAAACAAAAATTGATCACTATTAATTTAAGTAGTTAGTTCAGTTTTTAAGAAAAACATAGTAATTATTTTTATACTTATAAAAAAAATATATATAACTAAAATCAAAATTTTCTCATAAATTAATTTAAAAATCTCATACTATATAACTAAATAATTGTCTTATATGGGGCAATTAAGTTTGAAATTATATTATTTAAATAAAACAATAAAATACAATATTAATGGGAGGGACTATAGAAATCCTAAATAATATGTCCATTATATAAAAAATAAATAAGTACAATTATTTCAATAAGTTTTTCACCAATTATGAAAAATGTTTAATAAATAAAACATACACAAAATGCCTAACATATTATATTACAAGTCTGGATGGATGGGTTAAGCTAATCAAATCATAAATGTATCAGATCAAGCTCATTGTATTGTTCTTATGCACAAAAAAACTTAAGATAATAGATAAGAACTAAGATAATGTAAAAAATATAACTTTTAAAAGGATGTCAAAGGATGCAGYGCATTGTTTGTTTTTACTCTGACCCACACACAAAATACCAAATTTGATTTCATCAAAATCAATCTTGTTTTGTTAGTTTTAATATTAAATGAGTAGACAGCCTATTATTGAATTTAAACGGAGAATATTAATGTAGAATAAAATTAGTAAATTTAAATTGCTAATTTCACATACTAAATACTCATATATCACTTTAAAATAGAAATATTATAAAAAAATTGACAAAAAAATTCAGAGGATGTTCTAAATTTTTGGTAGAATATTAAGGTCAATTCACTCAAATATTCAAGCTTACAATACAATATTGGTTCTAAAAATGCAAATTTATTAATCAAGTATTATGTAGGGTAAAAAATAGATAACAAATATTTTGCCATTTTTCTTTGGATTTCAAAAAAAAATTTGTTAATAATTATTACGAACAGAGAATTTTTGCACTTGTTATAACTCACCGAGCTCACTGGTAAGTTAGGGTAAGCTTGTTGTACCAGAACTTGAGGTACTGGATTTGGATAGAATATAGGTTGACCACTATAACCTTGCATGCTAGTAGCACTATGTGTCCCATAAGGAGCTAAATACACAATTACAATATAATAGATAGTTTAATATGATTATAATTATCTTTAATTAGTTACCTGCATATACATTAGGGAGGGATTCTGTTGATGATGAGTTTTGTTGACCAGGGGGTTGAGGAGTTACAGAAGTATTCCCATTCATTGGCATATTAAAAAAAGCCATTCCATTCTGATAAGTATACATAACTGGTGCTAACATTGGTTGAACAGGAGTTGATAATGGAGGAACTGAATATTGCTGAACTTGACTACTGTATGACATTAAGTGTGATTGTTGTTGAGGAGAGTTGTTAGAATCGTAATTGCTTTTTGTATCCTAATAAAAATTTAAATAGCCATGTTTAGTGAAAACCAAATTAAAATAGTACACATACACAATACTTATAGACATATAAAAATGTAATTACTTGCTTRGTTAACACTTTTAACATTCATGTTTAATTGGTGCTAAACCATAAAAAATCATATCATTTGTTTGGATAAGCTATGATCTAGATATCATGTTTTATTTCTACTATTAAAATAATTGGTATCAACTTAATTAACATAGAATATTGATAAGGACCTAAATATTAAGAATATTTAAAAAATACATTTTTTTCTTATACCCTATTTTGAGTTAATATTACTCATTGTTAGAATTTAAGCAAGCACCGGGAAAAAGGCCAATTAAAGAAATCTCTYATTGTATAATAATTATTATCTGCTTTAACTTCACTTAAAATTAAAATAAAATCCTACTTAAAAGATGGGTTGTTAAATAACCAAATAATTAATTGATAATTTTTACAAATTATATGAACGAAGTTTATCTCTTACTATTTATCTTAGTTAAGCTATCAATAAAAATAATTAAAAATACATCCTAAAGCAAATATAAAATAATTATCGAATTACATCAATAAAAAAAATAATTATGTAATAATTATAAATAGAAGGTTAGCATCACAAGCTCAACTAATACCTCCAGACTAAAAAAATACAAATAGATTCAGCATAACTGCATAAGTTTGTCTTTCAAATCAATTTATGTACTCGGTTTATTATTTTTAATGTATTATACATGCTTAATAAAAATTAATAATGTACTTTCTTATCTTAAATAAAACATTGAGATATGATAACAATGAAACACATACTTTCTCATAAGCAGGAGCTATGTTGATACGCTTGTCTTTRAACATTAGAACAGGCCCCTAAAAAAAAGTAACTTACAGTTAATGCTATAAGAAAAATTGAATATAGATTAAACATAGATAAAAAACTTAGAAATAACCAAACATATAAGTAAATTAAATATTACTAGTTGAATTACAAAAAGTATATATATTTGACAAATTCATTCAAAAATTAACATTTACTTACAGCATCGATAATCTTTTTAACTTCTTCTTCAGAACCAAAAGTAATAAAACCAAATCCTTTAAGAGCACCAGCTTTATCTTTGACAATTTTGACAACTCTAACCTCTCCATAAATTGAAAAGAAATTTCGCAATTCTTGTTCTGAAGTGCCATTGGATAAACCACCGACAAATATTCGGTTTGGCACCATAGTTGATCCAACTCGTTTTTCCGCCACGTTGTGGTTGTTATATTTAAATGTAGGATGCTGTAGAGTAGACAATTCCAAGTGTTGATATCTCTCTTCAATGCTAGTATATGTTATCTATGTGACAAGTTATAAATTAGATTATGGAACTATAATTTAAATTATAAAAATATTTATACTAAATAAATGTTGCTATTTTAGTAAATACCTTGCGGCCTCGTTTCATTTGTGACATAATAGTTTGGCAGTAATGCAGGAAATAAGGATGAGAAAATACAAAGGAAACCTATTTGAAGGAAAATGACAAAATTAGCAAATAAAATTAATATCTTAAATCTAAATTTTAAAAATATGAAAAGTATCTTTTTATTCCACACCTATCATCGCAWTTCGACCCAAAATAGCTAGTACATAGGWAGATAAATTAATTTAAATATTTTTWTTGTATATTGTTTTCAAAAAAATTATTGGATATAAATGCAGAGAAATAGTTAAAAGAACATAAATAATAATTAGGTATCTATATTGTTTTCTAATTTTATGTATTACTACATTTCATGATATTATTAAACAKWTTYGTGGACACTTCCTCACAACCACTTTCCTTGTCTGGATAAATTGCACCTACTTAACAAAGTTAATTGAGTCYGAGTATTATCTATGTAGAATTTTCTTATTTATATTATATACCTGTATAATATGAAGCAGAAAAAATTAATGTAACCCTTAAATATAAATGTTAATGGAATGCAAAACAATAGATTTTCAATTTTTGTAATACTTTATGTAGTGTATACTATCTAGTGAACCACAGACAACATACGTATAAACTGGTCAATATTTTTTAGAAATAGTGAATAATGATGTTAACATCGATAAATAACAATTTAAAATCATGTAAAAAAGTTCGTACAACAAAACACTACGTACCTAYCTATAAAATATTGATAACTAAATTTTTTCTTCCTAAATAACGAAGACGGTGGCTACTGAGCAGCTCATGCAAACGTAATACACWCTATGATACGGTTTTGCTAAACGAACGTAAATATCTAATAAACTTCATTGTCGCACACAAAGACAAAATTGTAATTTACTAGCAAATACATTAACGAAGAAAAATTAACAATACGGTGAACAACGATAATACGAATTCGTTGTCCTGGAAAACTCGTAAACACAACACACGACAATAACAATTAGTATTACGAAACAAAATAAATGTGTTCCAAACGATATCTCAAACCATAAGTAGACGTACAGTTAGAAACAGTGAGAGAATCGAAAAAGAAAGAGAGATTTACATTGTTATTAAATTAGCGCGTAGACATATTTGCCGACCAAATGGGTATTCCCCGATGTATGATAAGAAACTGTGCCCGGTGGTGAGATTTGGTGAAATACGATAAAATATGATCACCGCGCCATAAAACCAGTAACGACTGCTTTTATACCAGAGAATAGATAATCACTTCGATAACGTCCCGCCATTCTAATCACAAATTCACGACTCCAAAAATAACAGACATATTGTAATAAATTACTAAATTACACTTTTTTCGTGGGTTTTCGACTTACGGCTTTACCCACTTCCGTCCGACTAAATTATCGAACCTCAATAAAATACACGACTTGATCAATTAATATTTATAAAAACAGTCCCGATCGCCAAAACGAGCTCGTAAAACAATTAATATTCAATGGGTAAGCCAACACGAAATACTCACTTTGAAAATAATATGGTGCTTGGCGTGGAAAGGTCTTTCGAACGCTGTATGTMTCTAAATCTCAAAAGGTTAGCTCCCGTACGTCCGTACTCCCGTCGTGTTTACACTAGACGGTTGGCTAAAACACACGGGAAAAATTCGAAACAAAACAGATTAACAATAAAAAATGCGTTCCGATCCGATGCGGATCCTGTTGAAACGTGCATCTCAAATGATCCGTCTTACCCGGCTGGTGTCGATCATCTCGTCGCAGCTTTAGCAATCCACGCCAATTAAAATCGAACAGCAGCGGCGGCAACCGAATAACCGATAGCGACAACGGTGAGAAGTAATAGTGGAAGAAAAAGAAACTGGCGGCAGTAAAGCGGCGAGTCGTCTTTTCAGACTTCCGTGGTAGCGACGATGTGTCCGTCAGCCGCGGCGGGCGGGAAGGAGCTGAGCGTTTTGCAGTTTTACTTCGGCGTGTAACACACGACAGTCGAATATAACAAATCGACGGTATTTTAGTACCTTATGTCCTAATAATAATAATAATAATATTATATTATGGCGAATACGGTGGCGGGCGTGCACGACGAAATAATGATGTGTGTGTTTGTGAATTAAATGTATAAATAAATATTATAATCGGACGGAAAAAAAAACAAAAAAAAAAAAAGCGTACGACTAACAAACAGATTTAATTATAATCAGTGAAAGAATGAAGGAAAATAAGAAGAAAATACGTTCGGTAGTGAAGAAGGGTATGTGAGTGTGAGAGGACGAGAGGAGTGTGCGCGCGCGCGTGATTGCGTATGAAGCCTGTGTATGTGTGCGTGCGCCGTGCGTGAAAAAACCAATATAAATAATAATAATAAGTAAATAAATATAAAATAATAAAAGCAAAGAGTACASAAACGCGACGCGCGATTAGGAACATATGTGCGGTGCGCCGAGCGCCATGCGCGAGAGCAGCCTGCGGGCAGCAGCTGCAGCTTGGCAGCGGAATTATCGGAACACGCGCGTGGGGGGCGGGGCCCGCGGTAAAAGAGACTCGGGTACGACAAGTCGGCGCGCGCGAACGCGTGACGTCACCGTGAGTTCGCACGAATGTTTCGCGGGAGCGCCGGGAGCTGTTCAATCCATATAATAGTCCATACTCCATACACCTAGCTTATAGCTCAATCCATAGAAATATGCGATTCGAACGGKTAAGTCGGATTCCTAGTTCCTACCACAGTTTCACAACCACATAAGTACATAACCAAYCTAAGTCCACCGAAACTGACTCAGCAGCGGAAACTTACACATCGGCGTAACTGGGGTTAGTAACGACTCTCCATTCAAAGAAGTTTTTAGCCTATCCTAGTTAAAATCCAAATCCTTGTATGAAAAAGAGAATTATTCAATAAGATATCGATAATGATATATTTCAAACATAATATATTATGCATCTAAATATAATAAGCGTTTACAGCTATGAAATATGTATTATACTGATTCAATTTTGATTTTTGGTCTAACAAAATTCCATCTGTAATAGGTTCATATCACAGTGGGGTTTTGGCTCCCTAACATCCATTAATCTTCCCAAGATTATACAGCTTTTAGTTATGTAAGATCGAAGCCCCCGTTCATATTAATGTTAAAAATGCTAGCCCTCCCTAAAATTTTAATGGATTCCTGGCTATGATTTGTGAATATTTAACTMTGATTATGCTTATGATAGAGTGTGTAAGAGAGGGCTTTTCATTTCCTAGATTTGTATTTCGTATACAAWCCAGTTCAGCCAATCCAGGGGTCATCACTCACCACTCACCATATCGTCCATATCACCAGCCAGCACCCACAAAATACAGATATTGTTTATTCAGTTTATTGTATGCAAATCG